CCAGCAAATGTTTCAAATGTATCTTTAAGATAGAGTGCAAATTCAGTAAAGCTCACAATCTCCATGCAGTTTCACAGCGTAGGAAAGTGGGAGGTGAGAGACTGTCAACGACTGAGTCAAACCTCCGTCTGTGTGCGGATCCTGTGCCTTTTTATTCCTTTCCTTTTTTTTGTTCTTTTGGCCGTCATGTTGTCATAGATACAAACATGGTCTCTTCCCTGGACTCCATGTGTGTCCTTGAGCCAACCTTCTGCATCCACCTGCAAGGATGCTGCTCTGCATCATCCCTCTTTACTTTATCTCCTTCTCTGCTGCATGACCCATCTCATTTCACCTTAGACAACATCAGTATCTGTGTGCAGAGAAGTAGACAAAGCTCTTAGGCTCTCAGGATTACAATAACACAAGCATTGATGGACTTTAATGTGCTGTGTTGCCACACAGAAGGGATTTTAATTTGACTTATTACTATCAATATTAGAATAAAAACAGACTCCTGTGTGCATCTTGGATTTTACCAAACCTAGGATTATATGTCTACATATAACTCAGAAAGACTACAGCTCTCTCAATAATTCACAACTGAGGCTCCAAGCAGAAATCCTTTGAGTTGCTCAAGCAGGAAACAAGGAGAATAAATTAGGCTACCGTAGGACAAGAGAGGGGCTTCAAAGGGGCTCTGCTACATTATCAAAATGGTCTCTCCATCTGCAGCCGTGACCCGAAGAACAGACTCACACCTGCCAGAGCAGGTGCGAGACAACACATACAAGCGTTGAAGTACACAAATGCAACAAGCTCAGCATCAAAATGCAAATTAAAACGAGGCAGGGCCAGTATTTCTCATCAAACTCTGATAGGAGCTTGTTCACTCTCGTCCCTTTTTGAGATAAGATGAATCTACATTCCATGTTCATGTGGGCAAATCCAAACATCTGATGAATAGAAATCCAGCTGCATCTACACTGCGAAATATATATTTTTGAATTACTTCTTTTTTACTTGTTTACTTAAGTAAGAGTAGAAACACAAGGTAAAAATACTTAATTACAATTAAAAGTTCTGTAATCATAGTCTTACTCAAAGTAAAAGTACGAATGTGCAGTATTGCCATCAACGTCTACTCAGAATATCAAAAATCGCCTATGAACACATGATAATACAGGCAGAGACTGAAGAATGTAAACCCTATTTACACCATGTTTCATTCAAGAGGAGATAACAAACATGCCTCCACTGTCTAAACTGCATTACTCATCGACATTGAAGAGTTTTAGTTTACAGCCGATACCTCGACTCAGACTTTCACGAGCTAAAGCTTTGGGTAATAAAAAGTAGCTCAGTCACTGATTAGTTGCTTCAACCACCTGACTCAGCATCTGATGTCACACTGAGGCTCTGGTCACGGTTATTCTCTGTAGTCAAAGTGACAGAGATCAGTAGAGCCTCTGCAGGCCCTGGACCAGCACTCAATCCCGGATTTACAAACACAGTACTCCAAAAACCAAAGATCTCAAACCCTCCCTCTTTCCCTTTTCCTTCCTCCCTTCTGCTGAAGCCTCTGCACCCCCTTCCATCCCTCCATGGGTGAATAATCAGTGAGTGGATACTGGAAATACCTCCCGTGGCTGACCTTATAAGGCTGTCAGGAAACTGCTGATTTCAGGTTTTAGGACTCAAATAGCAACCCCCTTCCCTTTGAACGCCATTGCCTCGACCCCCCTCCCTCTATTGTCTTTATCGCCTCATATGTCACACAGGGGAAAGGCCCGCACTCCACAAAGGCCTTGTCGCAGCATGAATCCTTAAGATAACATGCTGGATGCTTTGCTTTGCTGTCAACCTGAAGTCATCTATATATTATTTGGGTAATCTGCTCTGCTAATGGCAGGATGTAAACTATAACGACACAATCTTTCAATACATCCAATTAAAATGTTTGCCATCATTTAAAAAGTTGTGCTATGTAAGTTGATACATATAGTAAAACCTCACTGATAAGTAATCAGTTATAGTAACGTTAGCTTTGTTTGTCTTGACTATATCCACCCCAGAAGCAGGCTCAAAGTGTGTAATATAAGGTTACAACCTGATATACAGCATGGTTTGTGCATTTTTTACATTACTACATTAGCCGCTATTAGCATAACACACCAGGGACCAGAATCTACGAACGAGTCGAGGTGCATTGTGGGTAATGTAACTTTGTAAATACAAAAAAATATGATAAGCTATACGTCACCTGCTAGAAAAAATAGTTAAGCATAATACATTTTAAAATACAAATTATGCTAATAAATACATTATTGAAATACACCCCTGCTTTTTTTATGTTTTGTTATTCACATTAGCATAAGTTTTCCAAACTAAATGCAAAAGAAAGCCACATGGCTAACATCACAGCCTCTCATCTCTCCACATGAAGCCACTAGTGGAGAGCAGTACGGCTAATTAAAATGATTAGAGAGTTAGAGAGAGTTTCCCTTGGCTGGAATTTGTTATTCTAATGGAGCAAGAGTATACAAATTTAATCAACCCCTTAGAATTAGCCTTTTACCCAATTTTCTGTCAGGGGGAACAACATTTAAATCTTGCTGTTCATTTAGTTCAGATGTGTCCACATGCCAGTGTGCAGAGCTCCTTCTCTGTTCCTAAAGACTTGAACCTGTTGGGTGGGTTGGGTTAATTGGAAAATATTACTATAGAAACAACAAGTAGATGCAAAATTGAAACAGTTATGCTCTCAGTAATAGGGTTGTATAATAGAAAATGAAAAGGTGAAAACCGGCAATGTCACATTCAGTGCTGCAACTGTAACACTCCCCAGGCAACTCAAAGAGGTCTGTGTATTTTCTCTCTAATATCTACTGAAGCAGCTCATAAAGATGCAATGTTTCATCTGGCTTCAACCACAAACCTTTTGGCACAATATAAATACTTTAAAAACATGAACCATCTAGAAGACTGTTCTCATAAAGGAAGGATATAATTGCAAAGTGTGATCTGTTTGAAGCCATAGTTAGCTCCAACCTCCCAACTCTGTCCACCTCAGGCAGGGCTGCTTAAACAAGTTTGAGCACCTTTGCAGTCCCGACTGGAGACAGACGCATGTGTGCATCCATATTTGATCTTAGAGGATTCATATTAAACCAGCAAAACACAGCAATATCAACCATGGCAGAAGATTGTGAAACACTCGACTCAACTCAACTTTATTTGTACCAAATATTATGATCTCTGTGTTGTCTTAATTCAGTTGTAGGACGTTGTGTGACATCCATACCTCTATGTCATATCAACATTGCACTAACTTATTGATAGGTAAAGGTCATCTAGGTATAGTTGGATGTCATCAGTATAGCTATAAATCTCAATTATATGCTTTCTTTATACACACAGCATCATGTAAAATAAATGTATTAGTATGATTCAACATAGGAGCCTTAACATAGTCTTTTCAGACACAAACCTATCTTTTGTTCATTACTTTTCTGCATTCCATGAGAGTGAAGGCTGGACTTGAATACTTCATTCATAATAACTGAAGGAGCTGCAAAAATAAGGAGTCAAATTACTTACATCGGTATTGATGCGGTAACAAAAAAGGCTGCAGCTGCCTCAAACTGAACAGCTTGTACAGAAAAAGGCAGTGCTTTTAAGGACATGCATCTGGGCAACAGGTCTTTCAAGATCGTCATCTTATTAAAAAAACGTGTCCCTGGAGGAAACAAGCAGAGGAGTTGAGCTTTGATACAGCCGTGTTTCTACACGTCTGGAGTCGAGTCCTGTATGCAGCAGGATGTTCCTTTAGGAGTCTCCCCACCTGGAACTCGTAAATCTTTACGCCTATATATTTCTTTATAGGAAATAATACGTTCATTGTCAGCAGTGAGCCTCATGTGTCTCTCTCTGAGTTATATTTATGTAGTTGATCTGGGGCTTTCTTTGTATATTAAACCAGCATATGCTATACTATCGTCACGCAGCCTTGAGGGTTCTCTTTTGTGTGTTGCATTAAAGGGTTACCAGATTACTGCAGAGCTATCATGAGGAGAAAATGCATCGATATTGTGATTCTATCTAATTCAAAAGTGTTCCGACTCTTTTTAAAATGCAAATGTTCGATTTCACTGGAAAGTACGACTGCTCTTGAATGTACTCTCGATGCTTGTTTAATGACTTTAAAAGCCAAATGGAATTTTTGAAATTGATCCTGCGGCTGAAACCACTCTAACCATATTTCTCTGCTTATTCTCATGTAACCAAGCACTCAACCTGTTTACAGATCTGGTAGGTCCAGCAAATATAGACTTCATATACAAACTCATTTTGTTTAATTACATATCACAAATCAGAGCAGCTAGCAATAGAACACAGAAATATTGTTGCATTGTTACTGAATGCAATTCAGCTAAAAACATTTTGCATGATGATGCTGTGAGAAAGCGTCTGTATACTTAGTAATTACACTTTACAGTCACCAGTGCTATTGTTCTGCAATAATGGATCAATACACACCTACTAACGGCTCATTGTTGCATCGGAAGAGGTCCTGCATACAATCCAGATTATATATACGAGTTTGTTTTGGAATCACAGCCCCAAATAAAGCATTTTTCTTCAGTTATTTTTAAGCGGCTACAAAACAGCGTTACAGAAAATGATATGAACCTTTGTATTGTAACAATTCATTTAGATTCACATTCAGAAAAAAAATGTACTGTCCATCACAAAGCAATGAACAATTGTCTTTAACACAGTTAATAGGTACACACGTACACACACACACACACACACACACACACACAGCTTAAAAAAACAACACACACATTAAGTATGAAACAGTGAATTAAACACGTGTCCGAGTCGCCGTCCTGGTGGGATTGAAGAAATCCATATTTCTGGGCCAGAACGACCAATCAAACATTGTTTTATAGAGATCCTTGCACATCTACGCTACATTTACGTTACCTGAATGTAGTTCTCCATCATGCGTGGAAAGGGAGGGGTGAAAAGAGGGGTGTTAAGTTGGATGCAATCTACAACCTCACCACTAGATGCCACTAAGCCCTTCACACTGCTCCTTTAAAGGACCCTGTGTGAAAATCTATGGTCATACAAAGATGCACCCATAGGACGGGGAGCACCCTGCATCAGCAGCCTGCAATAAAATTTGCTTGGCATTTACAGACAGACACACTTACCTAACCAACCTATTTCATATGTCTCACGATCATATAACATGATTCCAATCACAGGCACAGAGTCACTTTGCCCTCAGAGAACCCTTCCTCCCAGCTCTGACATGTCTTATCATAACACAGAGAGCACACAGTGCAACCACACGCCTTTTGTACTGTGCAGGTGTGCATAACTAATCTACGGAAGGTGTGTGTGTATTATTTTAATCAAACTATCAAATGCTAATAAAGGAAGAGTTTGGCATTTTGAGAAATTTGAAAATTTGAAAAATATTCGCTTTCTTGTTGAGTGTTAGACGAGATGATCGATACTTCTCTTGCGCTCAACAGTCAATATGTAGCTGGAGCCAGCAGGCAGCATGGCTTATAGCATAAAGACTGAAACAGGGGGAAACAGCTAGCCTGGCTGAAGCTTCATATTTAACGTATAGACGTGATAGTGGTAATGATCGTCTCATCAACTCTCAGCAATAAAGTGAATAAGCATGTTTCCCAAAGTGACAATCTATTCCTTTAAGACCGGAATCATATAATCGCACCATTTCAATGTTCATTGATGAAGGATTGTTGATTAGGCCATCTGTGTGAGACTTTATTGTGATCTGACATTCTCCCTGGTTAGGATAACATGGAAGTCTTGGTAAGGAGGACTCATGTTCAACATGTGTTGTAGAAAAAGGTAGAAAAAGGGTGAAGCACATCTATTAAACACAGAACAAAGGCATTATAGTCCAGTCTTAAAAAATCCAAAGTTACAGAAATAGTCTCCCTTGTGGCCCAGCATTTCATCAGGAGAACTGCAGGACTTTCTGCAGCGTCCTCCTGAGTGGCACCCTCTCCTCAGGCTTGCTGTCAGGGATCATATCAGCGCTCCTCTCTGCACTCAGCTGGATGCCCGGCCTCATCTCTCTGACAGCCTGCAGGCCTGCCTGAGTGATGTTCCTGCAGAAGTCTACCGTGACCTCCTCCAGACTGTCTCCGTGAGCCACCGCTCCCTCCAGGCTGCAGTCGGTGATGCGGACGCAGTTCTCCAGGTGGAGGCGGCGCAGCTTCCTGCAGCTCTGCAGCACGGAGATCACATCCTGGTCAGTGATGTGTCCGCAGCCAGACAGGGTTAGCCAGAGCAGGTTGGGACACCTGTAGCACAGACAGCAGTCAGTTACATCATCAATCAGTGACAAGTTAGCACAAACAATATGTACAACCAGTACATCATCTCTTCTGTGTCATCACGCCTTAGGACATATTATATAGTGGGGAGGGATTAGTTCGTTAAGTCTTAGGTAAGTCTTAAGGAAGCAATGCTGTTTGGCGTGCATGTCGTCTCTTGAATAGAATCGGATGACAGAGGAGAACATAAAGAGCTGTGAGGCAGCACATGGTCTGCTTAACAATAGAGCAGCTTAATACCTAAAGACCAAGCTGTCTTTTCTTTACACACTGTCCTGCTGGGCATGTGTTTCCGTCCTGTAAAGAGCTTTTGTGAATACATGGAGTAATGGAGAACAATTAGAGGATGTTGATGATGAATTATATCTTGACAAAAGTGCATTTTCTCATGCTTAATCTTACAGGAATTACTAAATGTTGGAGGTGAATTACTGCTGTGAAATGCATGTTGACTGCATGTTTCCAGCCGGTGTGTACGGAATGAACTGCAACCTACTGGCAGGCCGGGACCACACAGAGCACTCTAGTGGCAACAGATCGAGGATGTCATTCAGTTCACTGATGCGAATTACATAAAGACTTACATAATCTTACCACTTCCCCACATGTGAGCCGCACATATTCCAGTTGCCTGCAAGTGTTGAGGCTGCTGCCCCAGTAACATCTGAACACAGGGTAGCACCGTCAATCCACGTGCCCTGTTGCATTGCTACATAGGGCCAATGTTTATCAGCGGATGTGACTGCACGGTAATGACTTTAACCAAGAAAAAATAAAAAAGAAGGGGTGGGGTGGAACAACAACAGCTCAAAGCCAGCGTTATTTGGAGATTCAGCATCTATCTATCTATCTATCTATCTATCTTATATGCCGTTCACATTAAAACAAACAGCATGGAGGGCAGTCTGGTCCGAGCACAAGCAGAACACCACACTGCTAACCTATAATCGCCAGTTTAATTTGGTTTCCTAGCGGTTATTTTGTCTGGTCAAATTATCCAGTGGACTCTAAAAGGAACTGCAGACATACATTTAACATTCTGCTGCTTTTGGTCTCTCCAGTGGGAGGGTTTGTATCAACTATACCAAACTGACATGACATTTTGGAATGAAACTACTCAGAACTATTTAGCCATGCCAAAAGCTTCTTGTGCCGCCCACACTGGCATGCTGAGCATGTTAATTTACGTTGTATAACTCTTGTTGTATAACTGTGACCTCAAGATAATAAAAATCAATAAAACAGTGTTCTTGATTTATTGTCATCTGGCCATAGTGGAGCTTCAGACAGTACACCACACTATAAAGAGGCCCAAAGAGCTGCTGTGTTTTATATATATTTTCCATTAAGATAAAAAAAAAACACAGACATAAGCTTGGCATCAGAGTTTGCGTGGAGTATCATCCAGCAAGAGGCAGGCAGAGACAGACGCACATGTTCATTCCTCTTACAGCAACAAAGAGCCAATTGTAGGCCCCACCTGCCTGCGTAAAACTCCAGTCTGCAGCTGACTGGGAGGGTCCGCGGCCAAATCACTCTTTATCACCCCCACAGCTTCTCTGCGTCCCCTCCCACTTTGTCACGTGCACTGGCTCTCTACTCACTCACTCAAACCATTTGGGAGTGTTTATCAGTATGCAATGAGTGAGCCTGCAGGGCGTCGAGATACAGCACCCAGAAAAAGTAGGTGGTTCTAGTTTTGACTGGTCTAACGGCTCTCGTGTCTTGCGTCTCAAATTTCACAATACAGGAAATCCTCACAGGGTCATACACTGAGCCAGCCCCTCGTCCCTCCTCCAGCTGCGGTGGCCAGACTCCCTCACATCATTGGTTATTACTGGCTGCCTTGAATAAATCATCCAGAGACCTCATTACGCCTCTCCGGGCTGAGTCCTGCATGCAGCCAGCCACGCACACAAGTCCAAGAGACAGTAGAGCTACGTTTCAGGGTCCAATCAAATCCAACTGTCACTTCATTCAATAAAAATAATTTGATATTTGACCACAGTTATGTTAGTTAATAGAATCAGTCTTATGTCCCACAGATGTGTCACTTTTCTGTGTCTAGCCAGCTCCAGACACTCCGTCTGGTTCTAATGATTCTCTACAGCTAAACAAGGCAGTTTCAGTAAGCCATGCGCCTCTCAATGAAAACTATTGTGTTCCCTGCAGTGATGTGAATGACCCTGGAAAACCTGGAAATGATGTGATTATCCTCGAAACACATCTTACCAAAAATAAAAAATGTAATTAATACAGAAGTTTGTGAAAAGCAGCTGGCTGGAGAAAGTGATAGTGCATCCAATAATGTTACTGATTCTGATTAAACATGTGTTGTTAATTCAGCTCAATGGTCATATTTGAGGTTTGTACTTTTGTCTAGTAAGAGCAAGTATGCAGATCCTTTACTTAAGTAAAATAAGCAATAGACTACAATGTGGAAATACTCAACTACAAGTAAAAGTCCTGCATTCAAAACTTTACTTAAGTTGAACTGCTAGGACGTTACTGCTAGTAAGTATACATTGTTTTGTTTAAGGTGTCACAAGCCAAAAAGCCACTGCTTTAGATTAGATTGCAGTACTGTATAGTACTGGTGTTGTTTTGTTCACCCTCTGTTGGTCTATTTCATCACATAACACACGACAGAGCAGGGGGCGGGGGGGGAACCACACACAAACACTCACATGCGGCAGACATGGGTCAGGAACGTGCTGACCCGGCTCTCGTGTTTACTGCAGATGTCCTTCTGAAAGGAGCTCTTCAACCAGTCCTCGATGTTGCACACTTGCAGGACCCTGCTGGAGTACCAGCAGACTGTCAAGTAACGCAAACAAGGTCCCAGAACAAAGTTGTCCCTCGTCAGCTGACACGGGGAGCTGAAGTGGAGGAGAGTCCAGAGGCAGGGGTCCAGGAAGACCTCGCGCAGCTGCTGACAGGTAAGGGACAAACTCCTCCGGCTGTCCTTGTCCAGGAAGGAGAAAAGCTGGAGGAGACATTCGTGGTTGAGCTGGGTCAGCTGCATGGTGAGCCGTCCTAAGACAGAAAGAGAGGCCTCTGTCCTCTGTGGTAAGCAGCAACAATGCGCCTGGAGCCCGCATTGTGTGGCCCAGATACATGATGCCTCCTCAGGCACATGCTGCAGGCCTGCACATATAAGGCTGTGGAGTGCTTGCTATTTTGGGAAGACAACTGGCAGTACGGTCAAAGAGGGAAGTGTTTGAGCCATACGCTCCCTTTCCATCTGTCATGGCTCTCAACAGGCGGCAAGCGCTGGACTCAGCCAGATGTTTACACTTTACTGGCCTAGTTCTCAATTAGGCCTGCAGATAGTCTACACACTGAGTGACACAAAAATGAGGATGTATAGACTGTAGAATGTATAACAGTCCTGCATTAACAATTTGACCCTCACTGCAGAATGATAGTAATTTGACACTAGAAGTCTGTTTTCACATTCATTATTTATTTTAAAGGGGTTGGCCTAGATGCCTTTTTAAGAATCTTTAAATAGGTAATTCAACTTTTTTTGTGGGGAACTATATCAGGCTGTCAACATGTCTGTTTGTTTGTGTCATTTCAAATGGTCATTTTTTTAAAGATAAAGTTTGTGCAACAAATGAAAGGTAGGCTAATGTATTGTCTGCTTCATGTAGGGAGGAGCAAAAATATCAGGATCAAATGAAAATATAATACAGTCCAACACCGTCCCAAACACGAATCACAATGAGTCGAGTTAGCCTCTCTGCACAGCGTCAACAATAAACATTTTATACAGTTTATACATTAGAATCTGTTGAACTTGTTGCGCTGAATGAAATGAAGGCCTAACTATAAAACATTAACAACTTATGATTCACATACAAGGTAATTACACTGCCTAATCCCGTCATGACCCAAACCTGACTAACCCTTCATGCAAGTCACACGTAGTGTTACGTAGGCCTAAAGGAACACAGTGAACTATGACTGTGTGTGGGTTTGAAACTGCTCAATTGAAGCACAGACGACATACTGAGATGGCAAAAAGCCAAAATACCATTAAGTTTATGTCATGACCACACACTACTGCAGTTATGTCCTGTTCCACTTGTTACTACCAATCTCTAAAAAGATGCAGGACATTGGTAAATGCCACTGTTGGAAAGGCAGATTACAGTCTATACTGTGACTCAGTGTGTTAACCAGACCTCTGATCTGACAAACAATGCAATGTGAGCGTATTATTAGCAGCTGTGATCTAGCCTCCAACAGGAAAAGAAGAGGGGGGGGGGCACTTGTGTGTCATTAATGGGGATGGAGTAGGGAGCACATGGCCACCTGTGAGCAGGCGAGGGAGAGCAGCTGTTCATCATCATACAGGAGTGCTAGTTCCTGTCTGAGCGAGGAGGCTGACTGGCTGGCACGTGTCCCAAGGGGAGCTCTTGTGTGTGTGTGTGTGTGTGTGTGTGTGTGTGGGCGGAGATGTTCGCTAGAGGAAAACATTAAAAGAAAAGGCTTGCTAAAAATCTGCTCTCTCCTTTAGGTTGTACTTCGTTTTCTATTGGACACAATTAGAGCATTGTGGACACTAATGTAAACATAACGTATCCTCTGGTGCACATGTTCAACGTGACATGAAAGGACAGTACCTAACATGTACACCACATTGTGCACATATGGTAGCTTGTATTTCAAATTTGCTATTAAAGTTCCTCAAAGGACTTAAACCACTGAATAAAAGAAATATACATCAGCTACAGCATATGCTGAAAGAATTATAGGCAAAGAAACTTATTTTGATTAAGTTTTGTTAGTCTTTAATTCAGAGCTGCAATCAATTATTGATTGAGAAAAATGTCCAGCGCAACATAGAGCTGATGATAAAGTCCTCAAATCAGGTTTTCGGCCTGATATTCAGACATATTCAGCTTATTATAAGCAGGACAAGACACTGTAAATGCTCACATTTAAGAAGCAAGAAGCAGTCAATTTGTTTGCCATTTTTATCTAAAAAATGACTTCAATGCAGAGTTGATTATCAGAATAGTTGAAAGTTATTTGTTGACCTTCCCGCTGAACATCAACTGTCCTGTAGTTTAATTGATCTTGTTCTTAATGCTGCATACTACCATCTGTGAACACTATTAATTGTATAAAAGTCTTTCAACTGTAGTAACTATATAAATCAGAATCACAAATAAACTCCACATGGAGTGTAGGGAGATGTTCTCCTCATGAGACAGTGTGGTGGCGTGATTCTATACGCCGTTACTGTTCTGACTTCAGTAATTAAAAAGCCACTTCAACGTTAATGCTTTAACTGCTTAAAAGAGTAATGGAAGAAAAAACGACCGTGTCTTCCTGTCTACGCGTTGTTGAACTGCGGTAAAAGATTTGCAGGGTCGCTACAAACGGAGCGGTCTTCAGGAAAGGGTGAACTTCAAGACTTTCTTCACTTATAGAAACTTTTATCAGGGCCTGTTTCTAAGACTCACTCAGATAAATACAAGACAAACAAAACCATTTGAGAATGATCATTTCTTTCACATTGCTTCTGGTCAAGAAGTGAAAAGAACTTTCTGAAGCACTAATGAGTAGGTGTCAGTCAATCAATGCATTCTACATCCTCAAACCTCTCGGAATAACTGGAAAACACAATGACAAGGTTCTCAAGAAGTGGATATTACAAAATTAGAAACTTTAAAAACAATAGAAACTCCAAATATTGTTACAATGACAATGTCTTGACAAAATACATTTCTTCAGTCTAGGCTAAATATTGGACCAACTGAGGTTTCCCCAGGCTACAGCTTTACTTCATTATGTTTAAACAATCACATCTGGAATCCATTACATACAGAGAAGTCCATCTCAACCGAGGAACAAAACATTATGGAAATAAATGCAACTAGTCATACTAAACAAATCCCAAGCAGCAAATAGATGATGTTGCCATGCAGATCATAAAAAAAACTAAATAGTATTGCAAATACATTAAACGTGAAAATGACTAAACTCAAGCATGGGGAGAAATGAGATTGAGGAGAAAAGCCAAAATGGAGTGAATAGCTGGTCTGAGGCCGTCTGATACAATCATTCTATAGCTTGGCTGGCTTCCTCTGCTGCCGCCTTGTCTGAGGTATCGCTATCTGCTGCAGCATCCATTGAGGCCGTGTTAGCTTTATGCAGTTCAGCCATGTCCTCACACACATTTCCCGATGCAGCAACATCTGGGGCTGCCACATCCTGGGTATTCATGCGTGAGGCTGGCACATCTATCAAACCCGTGTCTGCTGCAACCTTGTCCTGGGCAACTGCTTCTGAAGGGCCGCTGTCCGTGGCTGCCGTGTCCACAGCAGGCTTGTTCGTGGCGGTCTTGTCCGAGGCCACCTGCTCGGTCCTCTCCACGTAGAAGAGGATGTAGGCCTTGGCCTTCCTCACTACGTCCTCATTGGTCAGAGTCACCGTGCTGTCGTTGAAGTGGTACCATCGGCTCTCGTGGCTGCCATATGCCGTATAATGCCCCGATCCAACCCTGTGAACACAGACGCGCGTATCACGTTCTGCTGCCTTGGCTTCTGATGAGATTGTGTTCATTGCTGCTCAAGTGAGATGGAGACATTCAGCTCAGCGGTGCAACATCGCCACTTAGAGGCAAGAGGTAAAACGGCAGCACTTTGATGAACAGCGCTCGGCCTATCTTGAAGCCTTTTCAAGGACCCTTGATATAACTGACATACAAATGGGACATTTGGGGGTCAGGTACTCCTCTAATGCTTGGGAGGGGGCTCATGGGAAAGGGTTAAGATAAGGTGTGTGTGAGTGGGGGGGCTCCTTTATTATAATTCACTACATGTTTACAATCAAACACGCAATAGATCAGTGTATATGATGGAATAGTGGCTTTTTGTAACCTGACCCGCTAGATGGTTTGTAACACAAAGGAGCCTTCATTGGAAACTTTCAAAAAAGTAGCGGGCTCATTTTGCCCACAGGCTGGTTACTCCATATCCTTGTGGAGAGCCCTAGATATATGCAATATCTGTTTGTGCTAATTCAAAAATGAACAAATACATATTTTAACTTCTCCATTTGTGTGTTTAAAACAGGGGATACTCCCTCAACTCACCCAGATCCGTGATGCACTACGACAGCAACGAGGTCATACAGGCAGCTCTCTGGTAATGAATTCTCCGGCTGCAAACAAAAGAAAGACGAGAGAAGATATTTCCTTACAGCACCGAAAAAAACATCGTGCCTGGGAGCTAGTATTCAAACATAATTTTTGGCCAATTTTTGATTTGTAAATGGAACAACCCAGAAATTACACAACTCAAAGAACAACAGTAAGGAATAATTTGAAAGCAAACTCCAGTTTACACTAGTTCCCCTTTACGAGTTTGTCCGTTTAACAGTCACTGTTGAACAGCGCCCCCTGCAGGCATCAGTTTAGACACAAAGTCTTACATTACATGTGCTACACAATAATCTAACAACAAAGACTGATTGATCTGTTCAACTACTTTCTCTAGTAATTGTTTTGTCTATAAAATGTTAGAAAACTGACATATGCCCCCAACTTTTCTGTAGATATAAATCCATTATCAGATGACCAAGAGGACAATTCAGTTTTAATCAATCACCAGTTTGGTAAAAGGAACAATTACATTTCTTCATCTAAATTTTTAAATAGTTTATTCTTGGTGCTGTCTGCAGCTTCTCTGTTCGTGCCTAACTTGCAATGCAGTCATTTTAGTTCACCGTCTAGCATTTCACTTCCATTTCCAAGTCAGCCGTCTAGCATTTCACTTGCGATCTTTCCGTGGTCTGAATAGTGTCTCGACTCCTTTTCTAAGTTAGTAAACCATCCCCCTTCATTATAAAGGTTTACAATGTGGCACAAGTACTCTACCTTCTTGTGAAGTTTGACTGAGATAACACCAATAAAAATTCCACTAAGACCACTTTACCAAACTTGGATTTCTCTTGGAATCTTCCACAACAGCAGACACAGAAAGCAGTGCTGACGTATTAATACAAATATTTGAGGATGATCATTTTGTTTTGTTTTTTTAAACTGCAGTTCATTTTTTTTACAGCGGCCTGAACTGAAAGAGCACAGCCGACCTCTGACCTGTAGCAGTTCTTACTGTGCCACTAATGTGCTATATGAGCCACGCCCGTTTCATTTTCATTCCTTGTTCGTCCTTTTTAGACTCACCTCCAGTAGGTAGCGCCTCATGTCCAGGCCTTTCAGTGGAAACTCCACATAGGTATCCACCTTGTTTCTTAAAAAGGCTGTCCAGTGGAACCTTTTCAGGTGCAGACACAAAACCTAATACAGGAAATAAAAGCACCAATTATACCCGAACACAATATTTCCCCCAACTACTTTACTCTCACAGAAAAACCTTTCAAATGAATTAATTATAGAAAGAATTGAGAATGTCTGTCTCTACTTTTGGCAGCTTCTGGATCCAGAACTTCTTGGTGGATTTCTGTCGCTTTTTACACTTATGGCAATAGTACAGCTCCGTTTCATCGAGTTCTTCCAGGTCAGTGAAGCTACGCAAGCAGTCTAAAACATAAACAAACAGAAAATGCTGCCATTAATCTCAGCAGTACACACTTAGAAAGTAATACTTCCAAAAAACTGTCTAATGAGTCACTACCTCCGACAGTGGGGAAACTTACCACGCAAGGTGCAGGTGGGCCCCGGCTCCTGGTCCTTACTTCTCTTCTGTCTGAACTGGCTGGGAATGTCCAAAGACAGATCTGAGTCAAAAAGAATGGACACAAATTCTCACATAAATACGATGTGAGAATGCATAGGTACGAGTAGGTAGGTACGCAGCGCTTCTGATGTGTGTTTGGCTATTAAAAGGTGTACTTCAGAAAACATGCGCGTCAGACGCTTTCAGTTCGTTTGGGCCTTTACCAAGAAAGGGATCAAACTTCCGAGATTCTGTTCCACATATCAGGCAGTTGACTTCATTCTGCAGTATGCCACCAAAGTTGGATGTAACAACACTGGCAGTCCCATTTCTGTAAAGAATTAAAAAGCAGACAAAGTAGTTATTATCAATAAATGCACAGTCGTTCTGGTGTTCAATCAATGTCTGAGCTAAAGAATATGCAAACAACATATTCTAAACGCTACGAACTAGTAAATGCTATTATTTGTATAAACATATATAAAATCATTCGAAGGTGTCCCGGGCTTACATGCAGCATTTGCCATCTGCAGTGGAGAATCTGACCCCGTCCTGAGGCGAGACTGGGTGAGACGCCCCGTTGCGACTGTACTGCAGCTCCCTGTGGAGGTGGTCCAGCAGGTACCGCATGAACTCGTGTGCATCCTGCTGCTGATAGCCCCTGGACACAAACACACAGCCTTAAATGACATTGTTCCAGTTTAATGAAAGCAGAACTAAGAAGGAAACGGTTTGCTGCTCAGCATGAGGAGCTTAATTCTGGCAAACTCTCCGTACACTCTTGGCATACCTGAAACTTGGCATGATTTTCCATATAGCATAAAATAAGGTATCTGGACTGAAGGCTGTCTGGCTTCCTTGCCACAGGGAACAAAGGGTTTTCCTGAACTCCTCCACCAAAGACCTGTTCAACATAAAGCAACCCGGTTACCCCAATGCACAACCTGGGACAGTAAACATCCAAAGCCTGTCCAAACCTCTATGGTTGTTGTTTCTACAGAGGACACAACACTTTCAAATGCATGACACACAAACACATACTCAAACTTGTGTTTGTCATTCATTATATATCGTATAACACTATTTCTGTGCTACTAAAGGTGTATTATTCAAGATAATTACTCATCAGGAAATGTTTCTAAGACGTACACAAGTAACAATTTAATCAATTTTATACTTGCTGATAATAATTGTTAGATCTTTGCACTCAGCCCATGAACCCCCCCCCACCCCACCCCGACAGAATAGGACCTTACACACTGGTGTCCCCTTGGCTCCGGGTGTGGTACATCCTCCTTCCTGCCGTCTTACCGCTGCGTAGAGCCACTGCAGGCAGCTCCTTGAAATAACAGCTGAATTGCTTGATGTTGCTGTCAAAGAAACACATTTTGTTAGAACATGCTTGACACCAGACATCAGCACATTTAGCAAAACAGACAGGAACACCCATTTTAATCATATGAACGGTCTACGCATTCCACTTCTTGATTGGGTCTTACCAGTCACCAGAGAAAACCGACGGGAAACCAGCGAGACGTGTGTGGACCAAATTCTGTGACCCATAATGTGGGGAAATTATGATTTGTAACTGTTCTTTTTTAAAGTAAATTTGATGTATGTACGAGAGAGAGAGAGAGAGCCTCCACCACTACAGTTATGTTTGAGTGCATGTGTGGGAAAGATAGAGAAAGATATTAAATATCAAACAAGACATGTTACTACAGGAAGTGCAATAAACCGCTGAGTCAACAATCTGCTTTACTGTTTACACCAGCACACATACCCAGTGCTCCAGAATAGTCATGAGGAAGGGCTTTTCAGGTGTGTTAACATAGAGGGAGACTAACTTTAAAACGTAGCTTAACGATTGTGGACGGAGATCGTATTCATTTCTAAACAGCGTTTTTAAAACAAAAACGAATTAGTGTGGAAGGAGCTTAAGATTATGCACGATGACAACTTCTGAATGGGAATTTGGAATAGTCAGTATTGGCAGTACAAAAAATGGTTTCTAAAGTAAAACTGTTAACTATTAATAGTGTAACTATTAACAGTGAAACCATTATCACTGCACAGTAAAAGTCTAAAATTCTACCTCGAGTGATGAGTTATAGAGAGGCCTCATCAGCACAATGTACTTCACATTTGTTCATGGTAGACTTTGAAATTCTAATATGCTGCTGGATAGCATAATGAACGAGGCATCATATTTAAATTGTTATATTTTGAGAGTCAATTGGGCGAATTTGCAATGTAACCAGTCACATTTCCCTGTCAAGTAAATGTAGTACTACAATGAGTTTCTCTGAAGTCGAAGTACACAGTAAGTAGTAGACCGTTGTCTGTTATTTTGGGGTACAATGAGTTGGAATAGTAACTTAACTAAACCTAAAAATCATAGTAAACCTATAAGCGGTTAGTTAGGGGCATTTTAAGTTTCTGATTTCAACACCATACTAAAATGAATGGTAACTAATGGCTGCCTGGAAAGTAGTAAAAGAGATTATGTTTATTTTTTTAAATCTTCATCATGCTTTGGTAAATGTTTAGCAGTAATACAAAATGTACTTGATATATTATCGTAAAAACACACCAAGAAAAATGCGTTTTAGCTGGGAACTATGTCCGCTGACTGTGACTCCCCTAACTGGGCCCCAGCCTGTATTAATAAAGGATGACTTGTCATGGGGCCCCGGGTCTACAGGGGCAGAGCTACTGAACCAAGCTGCAAACCCAGTGTACCACCCACATACCTCATCTTCAGTGCAGAACCTTACCTGAGGGACTGCAGAATGGCATTCATGAAGCACGTGTTTCCCAAGTTCCGCAGACCTGTAGCTCCTAAAGCGGCCCCATCCTGTTCGAGACAAGTGAAATGCATTCAAATCCTAATATTCAGTACATATAAACATAAATATTTTGAAAGGCTTCGGAAAAATCCTGACTAAAACCAAGTTTTAAGCTAACATTTAAAGATAGTCAACTTCTGTAAAGCTCTATAAAGGCTGCAATGATTCGTAAATGGAAATATTTAAGCTAAGTCTGAGCCAAAGTATTTTGTGGTAAAACACCACTGTGGAGCGGCTCCGACCTACATATGTTCAGCCACTTACGTTGTCTTTCAACAACTTGCTATCTGAGGCTGGGTTTTCCTGAAGTTTTCTTTTCCTCTGTCTGTCACCCATCAGTACTGAGCTGTAGAAGGGGAACATGTGTTATCAGGACACTGATGTTGTATTGAGCATGATGTATACTTGCCTTTAGACATTCAAACACTGTCAAACTACCAAGACTACTGCTACATTATAATGACTTATTATAAAATAATTTGGCAAGTGTAATGATGACAGAGCAAAACATCTTTTCTTTCTTTGGATTTGCACTTACTTTTCTAAACTCTGCAGATGTTCCCTGACCTTCTGCACCTGCCCAAGCTTTGTGTCATTAACAACAACGTCATCACATCTGTAACTATAAAAATCCACATTAGTCAAGACACGAAAATGAACTTTGCATAAAAACACTGCATCATAAATATCTTGTATTGTGTTTCACTGTGGTAGCATGCAACATGTGTAAATGTATCAATTACTTCTCAATATGAATATGTTTTGCTTTAAATTAACATTTGTGGCATGCAACAAGAAGATTGTTGGATCCCTAAAAAAGTCAATGAATAGTATCAATAAATGAATGATGATGATATAAAGAAACATTTGGTTCTTGTTACCACACCATAACAATCCATCGACTGTACTTGTGTAAGGTTCCACTGTGAGTAACATTGTAGACATAGATGTGTTGGTGATGAAAGACACTCACCAGAACACGCTGTAGCTGCTGCAGTCCATGCAGACGGAATGATGGGATTTCTCTTTCTCTTGTTTCTCGCCCTTCTTTTGACCGACGCCACTGACTTGACACTCTTCAAAGTGTTTCTTTGCATGCCCATTGACGTATCTGTAGAGAAAGAGATTACTTTAGCACACACAACATATAGAACCACCAGAATATAATCTAATATTAAGTGTTGGACTATGTTATGCTCACACATTTTATCAAAGAATCTGGGTCTGCATGTTTTATTGTAAAGAATCTTGATCCTGGGTATAACAATGATGCTCCTCATTGATGACAATACACTACTACATAACATTTCCTTGTTAAAACAAAGATGGTAACTGGAAATTAAATATTTCCTCGATTACATTTGAAGAGTCTTTGAGGAACTGGAAATGTTTCCAAAACAGTGCTAAAGTTTTGTCATATGACATAAGATTTTTAAGGAATAAAACATGCTTAGCGATGTGATTTAATGCAAAAGCAGAAACTGGGGCTAACCAGACTTATCCCAATAAAACCACAGCTTTTTAAAGGTTTTCAGAGATACATTTACAGACAGCAATCTCAGTGACCACTGCCTGAGTTATGTAGACAATAGATACATTAATGCATGTATTGCATTAATGTATCTATTGTATTGTATTAATTGATTTGTCTGTCCCAAAGTCAAAACGGTTCCCAAAAGGTCTGAGACACACACGTTGCTAGTGAGATATGTTTGCTTTTCCAACTTTAGTTGTAAACAAAACGGCAACAACTTACCTTCCACAATGGACCATCAGACAAGTAAGGCAAATCCATGGACTCTTATTAGACCTACAAACTGGAGATAAAAGAGGAAGTCTTAATTAAGAGTAATATATTTCTATAAGACAGTGTATTGTGTGCTTTTCTTTTGAAAGGATCATTTCTTCATGTGTTCACTGTGATCTGCCCTTGAGTTAACGTAACATTATCTATCTAACGCTGGTTGATGGTAACATGGAAGCAAGGGCTGGGATCCAAATGACTGCACTCCGTTAACGTCAATGTTAGTAACGTTGGATGAAAGGATGACTTCTCTTACCGTTGCAACACCAGGAGAACGGAGTGCCGTTAGGGAGCCTGGAGGTGTCGATGGGACAGCTCACGTTTGAGTTCAGATGAGGGCACTCCATCGGCTCACGAAGTCAGCTAATGTCAGCCAACACTGCACCAGGAACAAGGCAGCTAACAATAGTTAGCCAATTAACCTAGAGTAGCTAACGTTAGCTAACGCTAGCTGGCCAACTACTTCAGTTAGCGAACGCACGTTTTCCGGTTCTTTGCTGGCGCTTAATCGTTTGATAGCTACACTATTTCTTGCATGGTTTCAGGACACAGCAGTTTACAGATAATAAAGATAATGCCGTTTCCACCCTGACATATTGATAGTTAAAATAGTAACGTTAGCTTTGGTGTAAAAGGTACTTGGTAACTGCTGGCGTTTGCCACAAACAAATGGAAATACCTTGAGGAAGTGACGTAGTTTCTGCCGGCTCGGCCTTTTGCCAGCTAACGTTATAAAACAAAGATGAAAAATCTTCTGGGCGTTAGTTACGTTTAAGTACTTCCTTCTTCGCTCACATTCCCCTGGCCGCTTATAGATACGGTATGTGCCTCTTATTTGGGTCGGCACTTTCTATTGGATTAATACCTACTGATATTTAGAAGCTCTAATGTTCAACCGAATTAAACCATGTTCTGAGACTTTAAATTAGTTTAGAAGTGTCACGCATGCGTAGTGGTCTCGCTTCCGATCGTTGCCTATTAATTTAATATGCAGACTATTGGCTATGTCAAATATCACATAATATAATATTGGGTGCTCATACCAGAGGTGAGAAATCATTGTTTTGAAAGTCACAAGTAAGTCCCAAGTCAAGACAGACAACTCAAAACAAGTCCTGAGTCCTAAACAAGTCATAATGTTTTTGTTTTTTTTTGCCAAATGTAATGCCATTTTAACAACAAAGTAATAATATATTATATTTACAAAACGCATGAATGCTTTTGAAAATGTGTATGTAAAAACAAGATGTTTCAAATATGTATGACTGAACAACCTCAAGGTTGAGAAAGCAAAACACTTCCCATAAAATAAGACATTCCAGTGATTCTTATGCAAAACTGCTTTTATATCCCAAATACAAGGCATGAGCATAAACATTTGATACAACAGCGACACATTTCAGGAAGATGTGACAGGTTGGTTTTGACACTATTATGTTGAGAAGTTTACAGCCTAAAACAAAAGATTCACAAATGCTGAGCCGGAAAAGATAATAACAGAGTATGCAGTGGGCATGCACTTCACAAAAACACCTCTAAATATATGTGTTGGGTTTAGAATTGGCATGTGTCTTCAGAAGACTTCAGATAGTTTTCAACAAATCTTTGAGCCAGGTGATGATGCAGTTATATTTTGGAAACATTGAAATGCATGGTTAGAAAGCATTTGAGGTAATTGTGCAAAAGCAGATGAGTACCTGAATGATGCAGTTCGTTTGTCATCAAAAAAATACTGAGATGCTTCTAAAGGAAATATTTCTCAAAACTTCAGGTGCAGCACTAAACAATGAATTGAATTAATAACTGATGCGCCCACTGTTTTCTCAGTGAATCATTTGGTCTATAAAAATTGTAAGAAACAATTTCCTGGATCCCAAATTGTTTTGTCCGCCAACCCAAATGTATTCTGTTTACTATCACATAAGGCAAAGCAGAGCAGGAAATCCTCACAACTGAATAGCTGCAACAAAGGAAACCGTTGACATTCTTCCTGGAAAAAGGACTTCAACAATTAATCAATTATTCAAATGGTTTCAGTTAAATCAACAGATCAATTAATTGACAAATCGTTACCGCTGTGGTTGCTTTTGATAACACTTGTGACTGATCAGATTTATTTAAATTGCTAAATGAAAGTACAGTATAAAGTTCCCAGGAAATAACACAACTTAAGACACATCACTTTGCACATGTTGTGTGTGAAACAAAACATGAAACAACAAAATTGTAATGGCTTGTACATAATGTCAGTAAAAAAAATCGAAATTGAAGTTAAATGTTGCAATCAGTTATGTTTGGTATCAAGACTATTAGAGTTATAATACACAACCAAGCTGATGAATGTTGCCATCAAGGTGACATGATTTTCTATGCCATTTCAATCGCCTTATCCTGAAGAGGTGAGCCAGACTGGATGTCTTTACTTTTCCCTTCTGCCTTCATTTTGGGGCTCTTTTTCCTAAAGAAGAACAAAAAATATGAATGCAATTACAGTAGAGTGGCCATTAAGTGTAAGGAATGTTATTGCTTTTTAGTTTGAATTATTTCTGTAAAACTATAAAGACAAAGAAAAATAGTCTTACTTTGACTGAACAGTCAAGACAATCACAGTTATGAAGATAGCGGCAATAATGACAGAAAGCAGAACTCCACAGATGATGGCTGTTAAAGAGCACATGTAAATAGATTCAACACTAGAAGTATATAATAACAGTTTTATGCAGACAGTTGCAACTTAGAGCCTGATGTAAAATGAGTGAAAAACAGTTATCTACTGACCAATAGGAGTGTCTGGCTCGTCTTCCTCTTCTTCCACACCATCATCTTAGAACCCAAACAATTGACATCAACACGATGAAAAATATGTATCATGTTTTTTTAAAGTGTCATCACTGACCCGTTAGTTTTAAAACATGTATTGACATAATGATGTTTCAACATGTATAATTAACAGCAAATGGAGAGAGATTATTGCTCACCGTGGATGCCATCACAGGTGGAGTTGCAGCTCCCTTGATCAAAAAACCTGTTTCCATTTCCAATGCATCCAGACCAGAGGAATTTTTTGCATTTGTCATGAACAGAATCGTAGTAGTATCTCAAATACTGACCACTGCAATCACCTATGGCCTTTTTAAAGTGGCAGGCTTGGGATACTGTGAAGAGAAAACATCATCCCCATTCGAAAGTAGTCATTACAGGGGTTGCAGTTTTTCAGTAAAACTAATAAATACATTTAAAAAAAAAACAAATATGATTGATCATGTCTAAAATTGCTCAACTAAACAGCACATAATTAGATGATTGAAACTTTATGCAGCAGTATATTAAAGCCTCTGCACATTTATTCACATTTTGTCCTACTCCTCCACCACTTGGTGGCGCATTGCTAACACTCATGCTGACACGTGTCTTTTCTCTGAAGACATAATGTAATAAGGGGGCAAAAGTAAAACTCAACAATTTCTGGGTCTATAAATTGACTCATAAAAATAGCATCAGCATTGATATCATGTCGATTTTTGCCGTCTTATAATGAACATGGTCCTAGACATGATAATAATTTGGTCGAGGCAGATCTCAAGAAGCCCTTCCTCTCTTGGTCCTTTAGGCCATAAAACTCTTCCTCATTAGGCAGTTTCATGTTCCAAAGTCCTTACAGCCAGGAAGAAGGGCAGCGTTTCTCTCTAGACTGGGTTAATCCACATTTAGGTGGCCTTTATTTAGGTTGCATATTTAAAACAGAGCAGTGAATCAAGATGAATTACTAATTAATGAATTAATTAATAATATTTCGCGAATAGTGTTTAAAACCCTCTTACCATCCATGGGGTAGATGTTTTCTGCATTGACAGAACAGTTCCTTATGCACTCTCTTTCATTCTCAAAACGGTTGGCATTTCCTCCTTGGCCTTTGTAAAGGAAAGGATTGCACTGACCCTTGATGGGGTCATAATACATTGAAAAGGTAAAGCTTGAACCTTCACCTTCTTCAGGGGCCAATTGACAGAAATCTGTTGGATGATAACAAACACTGTTAGTCAGATAACTTTTGTTTGTAAAAGGTGATGCTCTGGTTTTGTGGTTGGAAGAACTATTGGCTACAGAATAAGCTGGTGAGTTGACCATTGCACAATTTCTGTATGATAGGTGTTTCACCGAGCATCATCAGCACATAACTAATGTTTAACTAATCTCATCACTAGATACCCACTCCCTCTTTTTATGACGGCAATAAAGAGTTTCATTTAAGGTACATTTTCAGCCCTCCCGCCCTTCATAGATTTCACTGAAGGGAAGTGGTTTCAAACAATTCTTTTAACCAAAAATACACTTGATTTTTGAGGGAAACTAACTTAGTAACTATGTGGCTATTCATGGGTGTGCGATAATTTGCAAAGCTGTGAGGTGAAGTGAAGTTGCAGGTCGACAGCTCATCATGCTCAGGCTCAGACAGAAATGATCTCAGTGTTTAAAAGTTTAGAATTATAGAGGAAGGAATTGCCCAGTCAGCTTAGCACAACCTTTAGCAGTGTGAAAATAACATTTCCAGGAGAGTAAAGGTACAGTAAGTACCATCTCTTCTTTTTTTTGGTCACATCTCAAGACAATCATTGTTGGCTTTAGTTGCTAGTTACAACATAAAGATAATGTCAGTAAAAAGGTAAAATACACTTATATCTTGCTGAGATATGCAGTTTAGAATTATACAATGTATCCTACTGAAACATGTTTTTTTCCCCATCAAGTCTATTGTTTCCTGATTGAATATCACTGTTCTGGATAGATTCCGCCTAATTTATTTTGTCTTCCGCCAATGAAACCGCCATGTTGATCTGATCTGAAGGTACCAAAACGCTTTCTCCTTGATTCAGTTTCAGAAACATTATGTTTAAGTGAAAAACATTGACAATCATATAAAAGGTGAATAAAATATAATATTTTGCAGTTATGTTTTTAAAAAAAAGCAACAATACACAACGCAAACATTTGATAATTCTTCACGAAAGACGAGTCTGTGTGAAAAGTACACCTCTGGTCTATAAAACGTTCTTTGGTTACTATTTTAAATTGAGAAGAAAACAGTTTGATGTACCTGGAGGATTCGAATGGCTGATGTAGAATGCAGAAAATGCAATCCCCAAAAACAACAGGTGCTTCATCTTGCTGCTTGCCTTTGTTCTGTCTTCACCGGAGTGAGTGAGGGTTGTAAACCAGAGTGGGTTGTCACGACCTTTGGACCGATATTTCCTCAATGGTGACAACTGCCACTGAAACAAAAGTTAACAGCAGGGAAAGATATCTTCCTCTTTTTTATTATCTTTATCATACAGTACGTACGAGGGCTTTTATATTAGGTCGAAACCAACTAGCTCCAAATGCAGATAATATGCAGTAGCGTGGGTTAATATTGCTATTGTTGGGTGTTATGTTTAAAACACCTTACGCCTCATTCAGGTAACAATCAGGCTTAAAGATGACTCCTGCTGCACAACAGCAGCACACACAAAGTAGCATAGATTAGCATATTGACTAACTTTATTTTTGTAATTTTATGGTGATTTTGCATCAGAAATGAAATTACCTGAAGCAATTTAAATGACTCCAAATGCAATCTAACTTTTTGCAGAGGACTTGATTAAAGAGCATTTTTGGAAAGTTAAAACCCTCCTGTCATAGAGTTACCTCAGGGAATTACTCTATCCTCTTATTTTTCATTTTGGCTGAAACACTTCAGTTTTACATTGTCACATCGTAAGACTTTCATCTTTAACCTGTGATAATCCTCATCATGTGTCACGATTTATGTTTTGAGTTAGTTATTTATTCTGTTTTATTGAGATGTTCTGTGTCTTGCACTTTATTTCCTGCCTTTATAATAAATTCTACACAGGACTGTAAATGTATCGTGGTTAGTATGTTTGGGGTGTATTGTTTTTGTAGGCATTCTATTTGTAATATTCTTCAGCCAATTATGTGCCTCATAGTGTTTACTTTGACTTGTTGCCCCATGTTGCATGAGGGCTTTTTTTTTTTATCAAACATGGTGACCCCTACCACTTCAATAGGGTTACACATTTTCATAGTGGCAGGCAGCACAAATAGGTTGCTTGTACACCTATTGTGCAGGTGCGTCTTGTAGCGCCCTCACACACCTCACTTTCTTTTAAACCACATTTCCCTGTAACAACACCGGCGCACGTGCACGCGGCTCAGCGTGCACATCTTTCGTCCGCCGGCGGCAGCTCGAGCCCAAGATGATTGACGTCGTTTTGATGCGGTCGCCGCCTTAAGTTGTCACTCTCCGATGACTCTGGAGGCTGGTTTTGTTTTTGCTATGACGTCAGCGCGAGCTACAATGGCGCTGGCAACACGAGTAGGCTATAAAAGCCGGTTTGAAGGCTCGTGCTCTGGTGCTCCAAGCTCCTGCTCTGCACCGGCTTGACATCAGTCTGCCTATCGCACGAGGGAGGGCTGAGGGGATCAAGATGCACTTTCTGAGCTTCACACCCATCGTTTCACTATTGATGACTTTCCTGGCTGTACTGCATGGTAAGATCTTTGATGCGTGGAGAAAGTAACCTGTTAGGATGTAACTTTTAGATGCACTTTTAGAGATGTGTTGAAAAAAGAAAATATTTTTGGCCATTTAGCAATTTGTGAACAAAATGCTTAATGGCAGATGTCTTCATCCACCTGCACGTGCTCTGACTGACACTTGTCTCTGAAATAAAAACTTTAAATGTCTGCCCCAAATTAATTGTTTTCTATTAATTTTTGTTTTATTTATATATTACTACTATACTGCACCCTTTACTGTGTGTGGAAGTGCAGTTATTCTGATATATTTTAATTTACAGTGGGAGAAAAATATATTTTTTCTTTCTGTTTCAGCTGCCAAATGGACGTACAGTGGTAAGTCTTATAATATTTTCCACATAATATATAAAGTAAAGAAATCTTTTCGAAAACCTTCGGTGCATTTGCAATACCAGTCCATGTGCACTTGTATCAAGTTGAAGACATAGAAGTTATGACGTGGTAGTATTCTATCCTTTACCATAAACAATCAAGTGTTAGAATTAAATTTGATGCAACTCTCCGAGAGTCAGTACCTCAGAGTCAGAAAGGATGTTATTTTTGCTTTGAGCTGACATCGCCACACAGAAAGACAAAAGAGCTACAAATCTATAGCTTTCTGATCAAGTGGAAATAAACCTCAGTGACCCGTCTTTGACCTCCAAAGACAACCTGTAGTGACATCCTTCCTGTCACCTCGTGTAACCGTAATGTTAAGTACAGACTCTGCAACATTTCATAAGTGCCTTTGTCTCATGTCTTAATGTCTATGGGCAACCATGACTATGGCTTCCATAAACTGTCCTCAGAGACCTCGTGTCATTGTGTCACACTGCCTCTTGAAAGTCTGTTGCTCTCCAGGAATAAATGTTAAAACCAACAAGTTAGCAGGTGAAGCAATTCAATGCATTTGTCCTAACTAATTCTTTGGACAGATATTAAACACACTTTTGACTATATCATTGGTTAAATCAACTGTCGTCTTATAAAGTTAACTTGATAGTGTGCAAACTCTTTCACAGGCACAGAAGGGGTGAATAAGAAAATAGCTACTTCTCTGCACAGTAATTTATGTTCAAATAATTATAGTTGGAGGAAATTATACTTGTTTAATTCAGACATCTGAGAGAGGCTGATCCAGAAAATGGCCCTTTGTGGATTCTACGGACAAAGCTGTCCGTCTCCTCTTTGTGAAAATTTGGTAAATTGACAGAAAACCCACCTAAATAAGCAATAGAAAATTAGAATGGGAAATTTGAAAATGTATGTGTCAGTACAGGGGAACACCATAACAATGTGGCAAAATAAATGATGATTCACCCTGTGCTGTACTTGGCCAAAACCATTTACACGTTTAAATGTTAACACTTGGATCATTCCAAAAATGAATACAGTGCATGATACTTAATAGAATACAAAATCATCAACATTTAGAAGAATCTGCAATTTGAATGAAAACAAATTGACAAGAAGTCAAAATGGAAAGTTTGGTGATGACTACTGAGGAAAGCTGTACATATATAAATATACATCCTTATTTGAAGTGCGGCATGGTGGATTTCTTCCCTGGTTACAGTAAAACCCTCAAGAGGCCTATAGTCATCGTACTCAGTAGTCTTTAGGACTAGTGGCACTTTCTGTTGATGGGGGTACAGCTGAGTCATACGATTTATCTCCACCTCAACACTCCACCCTGTGGCAGAGGACAAGACAGTGAACTATAACATTGGTGTAAAATATATGATGTTGATGGTGACCGTAGTTTTTCTCACCCTGCTCTTGTTTTTTTTTTTAGTATGACCACTGATGTAATGTCAAACCATTGACTTTTTATTTAACATTCCTTCCTCATAGGAACAATCCCATTTTCTTTTAAATACCCACACTCATGTATGTACCAAGGATCTCCAAAGGGCCACCAAAGACCACCGAAGGCCACTGAAGGCCATTATTAACGGGCAGACTGAGTCTAATTAGAACAGCAAATGAAGTGGACACATAAGAGTAACGTTCTTCCTTATAGGGTGGGTTTGCCTAGGTTGAACTTTGCTTCAAACAAGTATTCAGTGATTTCATAGCTTCACTTGATGCCTTTTGGCATGTCTTGTACAATCAATCCACATTTGTCTGGGAAGGGACAGTCAGGGTGGGGGCAGGCCTCATGCTGCATCATTCATATTTAACCACGGTCAGCTGGCATATGGTGAATGGTGCGTTTTTGATGAATTCTGGATAAATAATGAATCAGTGGCAAATATGCAGAAGTGATGTGAGCTCTGGTACATTCAAGGTCTTTCGTGCCATCTTATATTCCGCTACAATTATGTTATTTCAGATTTGATCGGGTCCATTCATTGCAAACTATTAGCCTCACTTTACACTGACAGTATTTATGAAAAGCCCAGCACACTTCAGTCAATACACTGAATGAAATATGAGAAATTAAGAGCTTAATGTTTTCTGCATCATTTCTCATTAACATTTTTTTTTCTGTCTTGTATCATCCCCATGGCAAGTGCGCCTTGTGTGAGAAACCCTCACGCAGCTGAGGTCACTTTGTAAACTGCATGACTCCATCTGCAAATGTGGCAGTTTCTGGTGTCCTGTGCTTTATGGAAACCTTTCATTTGGAGACAGACTCCACAAACAACAGCCTGCTTCTCACTCTGCTGTAGAAAGGGCCAAGAGCGAAGCCATGGGCCTCTCCCATGCCGCCTTGTGATTAGATAATAATACTTCACTTTGATGACAGATACAATGTTCAGTAGGCCAAGGACAAGTCCTGGTCCACCTTGGAGCCATCCCATATTTAACTTCAAACTGGGGCATGCTTTGCACAATGCTAGCATTCGGAGGTGAAATACACTTTTTGGATGAAGGATTAGAATATCACCGGACAGCAAATTCAAAAATTAAAATTACATTTGGGTTACATTAAGGTCCAGACATCTCCCAAAGGTGTTTTATTGATGCTGTTGCAGGGCCAGAAGGACAACACTACTGGCCAAAGCAATATCCATACTGTGGTGGAGCTTTCCAGTCTCCAATAGATCTCAAGCCAGGGCTGCTGAGGTTCGACCCAACTTTACGCCCAATTGAGATCCAAAACTACAACCTGTTGCCCAATGAGCAGCTTACACTGGGGAATAACGGACATTCTGGTGAGTATAAGTCATCAGTGTTATCAACAAAATACATAATAAGGTACAGTACGTCAAGATAATTTATTAGAAACTAATTTCATCACAAGTAACAAAACTATGTATTAACTAAGCAAATATTTAAGTTCAAGTGGGATCTGATGTATTCATTGGAAATGGTCCTACATAAACGTTGAGGAGTCTGTTCTCGCTGTTAAGGCCTAATTTCTGGGTCAACCTAAAGAAAATGACAGGAGGATCTTCTTTGTACATCTGCCACAGCAATTTTCCATAAGCACCCTCTTATTATCTTGGCTGCCCTTCCAGGCAAAGAAGGCGCTTCATGTTTTGTCTGGGAAAATATGAACAGAGATTAGTCATCTGTTCGGCCTCGACTGAGTCTGATGCATCTTAACAACAGAAACCAGTTCCAGGTTTAATGTCCAATTTCTATACGTAACGCATAGAAATCCCAACATAGACAACCATGCCTATGTGCCACAAAAAAAAAGTAAATATATAGATGACTTTGGCAGATGAATAAGATTATTCCACTAAATTGTAGTTGATGAATGACTGTTTTGTTTGAAGAAAAGAAACACAGAGAAAAGTGATGTTGTTCAACCTGTGGCACTAAACAGTATGCTGCAGAACTTGTGTTGTTTTCTTCTTACATGTTACATTTATGTAGCTGCATATGTGAAATGTCTGTGATTAGCTCTGTATAGCCAAACACGCATGTAATGTCTGCCTTGTGTTGCTGCAATGCTGGTGTAAAGACTACCAGACAAATGCTTATGTATGCATGGGTAATTGGCCTCAACGCCACAAGCTGAGTGGCATCATAAGCGTGACGTGTTTCTGAAATAAGTTGTTTCACTTGTAAACATTCGTCACACACAGACGAACATGTGGAAAGCACCCTGCGTCACTGTACCATAAATTAAACGTGGCTACACAGCTTTTGCAAAAGGTCAGCACAGAGGGGGCCACACTGACTCCCTCACTTTAGATCAAGTTGATGTGTCTTGATCCCCTGATGTTAACTGAAGAAACCCTCTCCCCTGCTCTGTTATGTGTGGTGGGGTGTCTCTTGATCCACAGTGCAAATATCACTGCCCTCTAAGATGCACATCTCCAGCCTGCCTCATCGTTACACTGCAGCTCAACTTCATTTGCACTGGGGCTCCTCCGGTAGACTTGCAGGCTCTGAACACATGGTGAACAGTAAGCAGTATGCAGCCGAGGTAAACAAAGTAAACAACACTTCTTACCACTCACTATTGATGGAAAAGGTGCAGGTAGAAAACTAACTACGTACATTTACTCTAGTACAATTCCGAGTTCTTTGGAGTATTTCCATTTTTTGTTACTTTATACTAATACTACACTATATTTGAGAGGCAAATGCTGAACTTTTGACTGCACTACATTTATCAGACACTAATAGTTCATAGTTACTTTGCAGATTAAGATTTCACATGTACAACGGTTTATACAATATAATGCAATATTATAGAATATACCATCCAACAATATAAGTAATACTATATCTATAGCAGATATGTGGTACATGCAACACTAAATGGTGTCATTTTGAGTGAGTACTTTTACTTTTGATACTTGAAGTACATTTTGCTAATAATACTTGACCTACTGTATATTTACTTATAATAGCACGCTTTATACTGTAGTGCTGCAACATTTATTTCAGTAAAAGTTAAAGGTCAATATATGGTTAGCTATCGGCAATTAAACAGGTCTTTCACTTATCTGCAGCGTCAGATGACAGCATCTCTGGTACCGGACATCTAAAACCTTGAAGGTGTGACATTTGATTGGCAGAGGAATGGGAGACACTGATTCTCTTCAAGGCTCACAGACGCCGCTCAAGCTCAAAAGCTCTACATCTGCATGTTGCATATATTACTGTTCTAGTTACTTGACACTGTGTCAGACCATGAGTCGACATCTACTTGACAGTCTGAAATCGCTTATCGTGCATCTTATGTGATTTACTGTCGAGTACAATTGAATGCTTGTATAAAACACATTTTAACTTCAGAGACACAGAAGTTTTCAACAGTAAACAAGTTGGGATTCTTTAAAACCTAGACTTCTGAGATTATAAAGAGGGGACAGTTTAGGTCATAGCTGTTTTTTTCAAAATAAATCATACCTATAAAATTAGCATATTTCATTATAGCACACTCTAAAAGGCAAAGACATAATTCCAGTCAGCCTCAGTATGTACAGAATGACAGCATGATTTATTTCTGTAGGGTTTAAAGAGATTAAAGTACCAGACTATTATATGCTTTTGTTTTCAACCACTTCTGGAAGAAGTGGCTGTCTGTGCTATTTAATGTGCCAAGCCCTGTAAGCAGGGTTTGCTCTATTTACTTTGGAACTCAAAGTAAAGCAGACAATAAAGTCTTAACATAAGAGTCTCTTTTATGATATAAACCAAAATAGGAGACTTTTTTCTTACATGATTTGGAGTCATTTGAATTACAGTGGGTAGAAACAGAAATGGTTACAACCTGTGTGCTTTTATGTGACCATGCCCCAGCTGCAGGCTTCACAGCCACATGTAAGGTGCTGTGGTTTGACCTGAAGTTCTGAGTGGACACGTTGAGAACATGCATCTTTTCAAGTCTCTCCAGACTCCAGAACCACAGTTTCTTGATGACATGTTGTTTGTAGGGATGGAATGATGGAAAACTTAACATTTCCCAGAAATAATGCAATGTCCAACTTTTTTTCCCCAGACAATTTTGTCATATTTGACCAGAATGACAATACCATGCCTTTGTGTTGCACCGGATTTACAACACAATTCTGTCACAAAAATAACCGACAGTCTTGTATTTATTTATGTGCTGTAATAGACCACCTGCTCTTGTGTGCTTTTGTCATATATGTTCCACAACTATTACAACCCCTGAACATCACCTGCTATTTTCAATCCAATCCAATCCAATACACCTACCGTGCATGGAACAAGTGTGATAATTAGTGACAGCTGTTGGCTGCAAATTTGTTTTCATGAAAATAAAATCTAAAGGAAATGTAAGACGGTGAGATGGCACGAAGTTGTAATGTGTAATCTCCTCTGCGTGCAAAGAAAATGTAGAAAAATAATTAGTTTTAAAATAAAAACAGCTGCAAGATACGTTATTCAATAAAATTTTACCCACTTAAATCTTTGTCTTTATTATTGATTTCTTCAACAATTACCAGCCATTGGTCCTGTGTCGAGGGCATGTTTCCCCTAATATGCTTTTTAACTTTCAATTGTATTTTTACCAAATACTGTATATGTTGCTTTCCTTTGTATGTAAACAAATATAAAACAGGGCTCACGTTGCTTCCCACAGTCTAACTCGCTGTATCCAGGGCAACATTATTACTTCTTGTTTCTTGTAAAAGTTTATCTGTTTTGCAATTTTGAATTCTCAAGAGAATAAGAAAAGCACAAATGAAACACAGAATAATCACACTGAGGTTTTGCCTACATGTGTAGATTGCATTATTTGTTTCTTCCACAGGGTCTTGACTCATTTCTCTTTTCTGTCACAGATGCATGTTGTACACTTCAATTCAGACAAGTATCCCACTATATCCATGGCCATAGACAAATCTGATGGCCTGGCTGTGCTGGGTGTCCTGATTGAGGTGAGATGCTAAGGGAGAGGGATGGCAATGTGTGATTTTCTTGTGGAGCAGAACCATCTAACTATGTTTGTCATACAGGTTGGCGATTTCAATCCGGCCTTTGAACAGTTTCTGAGGTTCATTAACGGTATCAAATTTAAAGGTGAGTCTAAAGTGATGATTTTCTTGCGTAGTTTTGAGTATGATTAGTGACGAAGCTACCTTGGTGATGTCGTTTTATTTCTCGGTTTTGGGATCAGAACCTTCAAAGTCTTCATCAGGTCATTCATGTGGCCATTCTGGATGTTACTCTGACGTAAACAGTTGTTAAATGGTTACAAATGACTTCTCTCTGGCAGACCACAAAGTGCAGGTGCCCGGATTCAACATCAGAGAACTGCTGCCTGCACGTTTGGATGAGTATTACCGCTACGACGGGTCGCTGACGACTCCCCCGTGCTATCCCAGTGTCCTGTGGACAGTGTTCCGAAATCATGTCACAATATCTCACAAACAGGTGCTCCTAAATAGTTTTTTCAGACATTTTAATATGTTTTTATTGTTTTGACCTTAATTGGTGGAGAACATGTTTTTGTTTTGTTGTATCTCCTTAGTTTCTGGCCCTGGCAACATCCCTCTACTCCTCTGTTGCCCAAGACTTAGCCCCTGTGTCTCTGACTGGCAACTACAGGAGAACACAGCCACCTGACAGCCGAGTTGTGCTGGTTTCTTTTAAGGAGGGTAAGTATGGTCTTAAAAATGCTTGCTTTAATGTTTGAGCAGCAATGCAAAAGTCACATGAATGACGTAGCCCCTGCAAAGCTTTAAGAATGAGAGCAAAAGGACAGGTTTGAATGATGTTTGTGCATTTTTTCAGGGCTGTCACACTTGTTTGCTATCACCTGCTTGTTGTTGAGCTTTCACTCTAATGTCTTTCTTAATCATCTTTAAAGTTGATTGACTTTGATGAGCTTGGTGGAAAGTAGGCCATCTTTCAAGACCCGACAAATCATCCGTCTCCTGTGACAAACTGAAAAAGTCTACAGCCCTTAAATTATTCTTTAAAGTCTTACTTTTATGTGGTTGACTGGTTTACCACAATGTATGGTATTTAGCCCATATAGTGTGGTAAGAATGTGCATGTTTTCTGCATTTTCAAAGCTTCCCACTCAGAGCTATGCTTTTCTAATGGCACATGTGTTTTGAAATGGCAGTGTGGAATCCTCTGCTTTTAGCTTTAATGAGCGGCATTTAGCAGGCGATTGTTGTGCTTTTAGTTTAGCACTGCAGACAGTGCTGTTGCATGCTGGCCGTGAAAATCCGAAGTCGTTCCAAGAAATATCCCATAGGCTGGGATTTTTAACAAGCTGTGATTGGCTGTGTGTCGATGCAGGCAGTGGACTGCAAGGTACTCTTACAGTCACATCTCCACTCGCGAGGAAGCGAATTGTTCAGCAGCTGCTGGTTGGTGACCTAGCAGACCTGGCTGATGAAGGGCTCTACCAGCTCCTACCAAGTGGCTCAGAGAAGCTCCATGGCAAGAACAAAGACCTCAAGAACCAGGAGAGTGAGACTCCGGACAAATCCAAACAACAAACGCTGAATTCATCCCTTTGGAAGAAGAGTCAGGCCGACTGCTCGGTGGGAAAGTTAGGGCTGGCTGAAGACACTCTGTGCTTCGTCTCACTCGAGCAGAGAGTTAACCGTCAGCAAAAACAGTCTCATGCTGAGGACCAGCTGGTTCAGGCTCTCAGACATGCTGCTTTCCCTGAGCTCAACCTCAAGAGCTACCTGGACTGTAAGTCGGACCTAGCCCTCCCCACTATCAGACACATTCTCCATGGACGGCCAACAGATGAAGCTAATGAGTTAGAACGCTCCCTGAAAAAAGCCTTCAGTAAAAGAAAGACTACCACAGCAATCAAGCAAAGTGTGCCAGTGACAAAGTACGGCGGTTTCTCCACTGCTACTGTTCCCAGGAAACCACACAGCCGGGGTTATCCACATCCTTGGCTTTTGCCAATGGAGTGGGAAGACTAAAGAGATTCCTGACATAGTTGTGACTCACATTATGTCACTTTCTGGAGCGGTCATCAGTTGTGTGTCCCTAAATGAAAGACTAATTTTCCAGCCACACTCTGCATTTCACATTTAATATATTTTTCGAGTATGAGCACATAATGATAATATGATTTCTAACAGAAATGGTAGTATGAGTTAATATACTTATTGTTTAGTGTCTTGTGTAGATTGTAGATTTTTGTCATAAAATCAGCAAAAATGAGAAACATTTACATTCTCACTTTGGGCTTTAGGTCTGTCCATATAATTTTGCCATGCCATGTGCTTTAAAATAAACTACTACAGCGCACGCACATATTCCAAGCTTTGAAATCTATATGCATCAAGCTACATACGGTACATTAAATGTCTGGCAAAGAATATTGTTCTCCTGTACGCCAAGTACAGTTCTATAGTATGATAATTGTGGAGCTAGAATAGTAATTACTGTCTTGCACAATATAGAGATGCAGCTTAAGCAAAATGATTTGCAAGAGCATAAGCGCTTTATGTCACATCCCTGACTTCTGTGACAATTTGTTGTTTCTTTCAAAATGCCACTCACAACCAGGAATGAAACAGCTGCTGTACAAAAGGAACTATTTTCAATAAAAGCATTTTACATGAAGTGATACATGGCAAATTTCTTTACTGTGAACTCTCATTTAGAATATAGTCTTTTTCAGGACCACACAAGGCTGGAGTCTCTGCCAGCATACACTGGGACAAACTGTGCCAAACTGCCTGGAAGTTAAAACATCATCATAGTCTTTGTACATGTTCAGTCATATATATGTATATGTATGTATGTATGTGTGTGTGTGTGTGTGTGTGTATATATATAT